TGAGAGGAACTTGTGATGGACATCTTTTCCTCTCAGCCTTAAGGAGCATAAGACTTGAGTAGGCTGTGATTTCAGAGTCACAGAAGACCCCATCGTACAACTTACCTCAGCACTTAGTGAAGAAGACAAGCTCGGAGGGGTCAGCTTCTGAAGCCAGGAGACCTATCACGTGTTCTTCCAGTAGCAGTGACCCAGTGAAAGGTTATTATTCAACTCTGAGGATAAGACCTTGACTTAGTGTAGTTTCGTATTTGTTTTCACGTGTAAATGTATGAAAGAAAATCAGGGAAGAAGAAAATGAGGTGAGACTGGAGGAAGTTTCACCTGGTAGTCTGTATTAGAAAGAAAATTTGAAGGGAAATGCAAGACCTGATTAGGAACTTGTGGATTTCCACCATCAAAAGTTAAGAAGATACTGGGTCAGTATTCAAGAAGTATGTATGCATCAGTGGTCAATAACAGTAGCTACGATTTTATTTCTGTTGAATTTGAAAATTTCAAAAAGGAGGACCTTTTTTATTTTTTGTGTATCTTTAAAAATTTTTATTTTTCCATTAATTCATTCCAAAAGTTTCAATCGGACCAGTTGCAAATTAAAAAAAAAAAAAAAAAAAAAGGTCCTCCAGGTTTCATTCATTTCTTTGTTCGAATTGAGATGAAGGCTTCTGGGAGCTCTGGTGGCCTAGTGGCAAGAAGCTGCACTGAAATCCCAGAGGTGCACAGCTCGAATCCACCAGATGCTCTGCTGGAGAAGGAGGGACAAAGTCCTCCTGTACCTGTCAGATCCGATTTGACGGTACACACATACAAAATAATAAAGCAAAATAAATTAAAAAAAAAAAGATGCAGGCTTCTTCCAGAATTGTCTGAGCAATCCCAAGAGAGCCTTTCAATCTTTAGGTATCACCTCTACTTTCCGCTAAGGTCAAAGGACAAAGGAAGACAGTTAAAAGCCGTTTCAGCTAAAGCTGCCCCCTTTTTATTAGGAAAATCACAGCTTTCCTAAAAGCCCCACTCAGTAGATTTTTGCCTTCACCTCATTGATCAGCTTATATTGTGTGTTTTAACTTGCTGCCAGAAATTCTGGGGAATCAAGTTGTACAGCTGAGTGGTCAAAACACATGGGATTCCATTAGCAGCAAAAGGAGAATGGGTATTGTACAGGTGTAAGGTAGGTCCATCTGACAATAGTTATGAAACAGAGTTCATATCTTTTGTTCACGGGGTCGCTATGAGTCTTGCTTGACTTGACAGCACTTAAAAACAATAGCAAGGTATATCCATAGGGAACTGCACTGCTAGTAAACCAAGCAGTGATTCCGAGGAAGAAAGACAGATGGGCAATCGATCTCCTCATGTGACTTAACAAAACTGGAAACTCAGTGGAGGGTCAGTTATCAGTCAGTTTGAACTTGACAAGAAAGAGAAGTAAGTATCAATGTTTGGCACCATATATGTTTGTGAATGTCTTTTCTTTAACGTAGTCAACTCCCAATAAGGCTATATATACTCTGTTGACCTACTCCATAGGGAGATGCACTAGTAGCCCAAAAACTACAGATCTCTGGGAGTTAGAACCAACAGTGGCTCCGAGGCAGAAAAATGAGCAATCTTCTCCCATTTGATTTATGGTCTCAGAAACTCATTGGAAAGCCACTTAGTTCAACTTCAGTGCCACTGAGCTTAGGGAGCTTGGTTGCATGGTCCATAGTGAGTTTCGCTGTTAATTCAAAAGCCAAACATGTCTTCTAGTTCGAATCCAACCGTGACTCTGCTGGAGAAAGATAGATGGTCTCTTCTTGTGCCATTCACAACTTTGGAAAACACAACAGAGCATTGGTTGTGAGGCCATTCTGACTTGATGGCAATGAATTTTAGTCAAAAAGTTTTCAAGGAAAGAGTTTGTTTTGAAAAGAATATAGAAAAAGGAAAGAAAGGTAAGTTTTGCAGAGAAGAATGAGGAAAGCCTTGTGTGGGAGGATGGAGTTGTGGGAGAAACCAGTATTCTTTGCTTCCTGGTCAAGCTCACAAGCTCTTAATCACCCTCCTGCTTTTTTAGCTTCATCTTCCTGCTCCCCGTCTCCCATCCCCTTTACCAAGCAGAATCTAGACCGGAGACTGAACTTTTTTTTTTAAAAATCTGATTTATTTACAAAGTTTGAATACATTGTTTTTCACAAAATATCCTGCCCATTTCCTTCACCCCACCCTGTCATTGAATTATGCAACTCTGCTCCACCTCCTCACCCCTCAATTTCCACCCTTCCCCCTACCTTTGATCCTCATACTCATTCTATAATAATGGTTTTATACAGTATTTGTCCTTGTGGGACTGAGCTAGTTCACTCAGCATAATGCTTTCCGGTCCCTCCCAAGATAGGTAGTGATTTACAAAATGATTGCTCCTGCGTGCTGTGTAGTATTCCATTGTGTGAATGTACCATAATTTCTCAACCCATTCATTTGTGTTTGGACATTTGGGCTATTTCCATGTTCTTGTGATGATGACTAATACAGCTATGACCATTGGCCTACAGGCTTTTTTTAAATGAGAGCTAGATCAGGCACCAAGATCTTAAGCACTCGAGGACCTCCACTCTCTAAAATAAGCTGTGAACCAACCACTTTTCCCACGGGGTCATTTCTCTTTCCATCCCACCACATCCCTCCTCGTCTTGCAGAAATGGCAAAGCCGAAAGAGGACTCAATCAGCTGATCATCTGTTCTCCATTTCAGGCACAGAAAATCCAATCAGTGACCCCAGGACTGGATCCATCTGCCATCATGTCTCAGTGGTTACCTTTCCAAAGGAGATGGAAGGCAGGCCTGAGGGACAAGGTGGGGACCTCTTCTCAGCTCCCTACACAGAACTATGAGACCTTATTGGAAAGCTGCCTGAGTAATCACTGCCTCTTTGAAGATAACAGCTTTCCAGCGACCCTGAGCTCCATTGGCCAAGGACCTCTGCTGAAGAAGCTGCCACGTCACCTGCAGTGGAAAAGACCTCCAGTAAGAGTCTGGGGAGGGGCTTTTGAAGAAAGTATACATGTGTCAGTCCAGACTCTTCTTTGGAAAGATTGGGGCTTGCCGGTACCAGGCCTTACTATCTCTTGTTAATTCTCATGAGACAAGAACTACATGAGTTCCGACGTTCTAATTCTAGATAGAAATGATCCCCCACCAAGGGAGAGTTTAGTCCAAGAAGATCCTCTCACTGAGCCTCTCCCCAGTTACATGCAGAGTAGATGGAAGCATTGTACAGCCTCATCTGAGAAGGCCAGGGACCCCACCAATACCACTTGCCATGGAGACAAATTTTAATGGATCTCTAATCCTCACCGGAAGCAGGAGCGGCATCCACTTCCGAAATGGCTTGCCTCCGGAAACTCTATGTCCGAACAGTGCTCAGGCTGTTCGTTTATAGGGTTGCTATGAGTTGTCTACGACTCCACGGGCCCTAACAAAAACAACAACAAATACATAAATTAGGAAACTATTTATCACTTCAGGACCTTTGCTTTGTAAAATACATCAACAACTCATTTAAAAAGCAACTTTTTAATGTGGTCAGGTACAATCCATGTCTCCCAAAACTTGATGTACAAATATGATCAGGTTGTTTTTTGTTTGTTTGTTTGTTTGTTGCCAGTCAAAACAGAATAACATTTATTTTATTTTCTTTTTTTCAAAATTCACAATTTTAAAAAAAATTTTATTTTATTATTTTGTGTGCATGTACCGTCAAATTGGATCTGACTGGTACAGGAGGAGATTGCCCCTCCTTCTCCAGCAGAGCGTCTGGTGGATTTGAACTGCGCACCTCTGGAATTGCAGTGCAGTTTGTTTTGTTTTGTTTTTTTACAAATATGATTTTAAGAGCACACGGAGGGAATGGAGTGAAGTCAGTCTGTGCTACAAATTCTTCCTTCCGTACCTCCTGCTCACTCATCCCCATCAACACCTGGGGCTCTAGGTTCCACTCTCTGTCCCCCCGTGGGCTCCCATGTGAGCGGCCCAGATTCCTCTCTTTTTCAGAAGATCTTGGAAAGTGCTGACATAGACTGTCACACATCTTGGAGAACTAAGGAATCGAGTCCTTTCTGTGTAACAGAGAACAGCTGGCCCCCTCACTACTTCCATTACAGCCCACATGCAAGCAAGCAAAGCAGAGGAGGCAACTAAATGAAAGAGTAGGAGCGAGAGCAAGCACTTGGGGGTGGTTAAGGAGAACATGAAAATCTTTAGGAAAATGAGAATACCCCCTTTAAAAGTGCATTCCTTTCTAATAGAAACTAAGAAAAGTTACAAGTACCATTTCTCAGTAGCTTCAAAAAGTTGTCTGATCTCTAACTTAAATGAGCTGCAGAGAAAAGGACAAGAGAGCTAACAATGTGAAGAATGAACATCTCAGGTTTTCTGGGACAGTTCTGATTTCAAAGATAATAGACATCTAAGAATAGATAGTAGATAATCTTGGCTGACACAGAGAGTTAAACATCTCACTACTGGCTGAGAGGTTGATGTTGCAAATCCCACCTGAGGCTTTTAGAAAACAGACCTTGAAATGTGCATCTGAAAACCCTAAGGGGCAATTTTACTCTCCAGAGAATCTCCTAAGTTGGAGTCAACTTGAGAGCAACTAACAATAACAGAATATGAACTAGTAAAGACCAGTTTTCAAGGATGAGAAAATGCAGTCACTGCATCGTCTGCAACCTGGGTTGCTCAGATAGTTAAGTGATCAGCTATGAGCTAAGTGGTTGTTGAGTGCCTTTGAATTAGAACCAACTCAGAGCTGACCCTCCAGCCGGCTTTCAGAGGCGATATATCACATGAGACAAAATTGTCCATCTTTCTCCTGTGGAGCAGCTGGTGGATTCAAACCACTCTCTTTCAGGTTGGCAGCACAAGTCCTTACCACTAGACCCCCAGAACTTAGAGCCAAAAGATTAGTGCTTTGAATCTACCCAGAGATGCCTCAGAAGGCTTGGAAATCTATTCCCAAAAGATGAGAAACACTGAAAACATCTATTGAGTGTGTTTCTACGCAACAGCAACTGGTGATGGTGGTAGTAGCTCTAAGAGTTTCTCTGGTCTCAGTCAGAATGATGACCCTCTCTATTCCCTCAGGAGCTGCACAGCAATCCCCAGTTCTTTTCCCCCAAAGCCAAAAAGCTGGACCTGTGCCAAGGAGTGGTAGGTAAGTGTGCACCGTCCCTAGAGTTGCACGTCTGGCTGCCTATAATCCTGTCCCAGCCTCTTGTAGAGTGAAGTGATAAAGAGGGAAGAGAGATCTCAACAGTAGAGAAGGTACTGCTGAGTACAGCAGTAAACTCAGAACTCTACCCAGACATGCTCTGCTCTCTGCTGGTCCTCTGAGGACTCATGGGATTGCCACACTTCGGCTAAGCTCTCAGATAATTCCATTTACAGGCTCATAGATCTAAATTTTGTGTTGGGAAAATATGTTCACTCTAGTTTTGACAATGAGGTTCTTCTTGGACGACCAGCCTCCAGACTCTCCAGAGTCAAGTTCAAACCTTAGTCCCAATAACTGTCTTAGAATGAATGGAAATGGTCTATGGCCATCAAGGGAGACCTAATTCTTCTGACAATCATTTTCAGTATAGGAAAATGGAGTCCAGATGGGGTGACACTTTCTCTGAAGACCCTAAATAGGTTGCAGCGACAGGATGTTGGAAAGCATCAATGTGTTTGGGTCCAAACTCCCAGAATTCAGGCATTCAGGAAGTTAGGATCTGGTCCAGGAATAGGGGTCAGTTCTTGGATGCTAAGTAAACTCCAGCAGTGCTTCCAATAACTGGTCCTGCTTTCTCAGCATCTTTCTTCTCAGTGCATGCTACTTGTTAATAGTGCTGCAGTCTCAGAGAGGGTATGAGTTGGGATCTGGGCGTACAAGCCCCCAGTAGATGCCTGTTGACCGGAGCCTTGTGCTATCTGCTATCTGACTTAGGGGACTGCTGGTTCTTAGCTGCTTTGCAAGCTCTGAGCCTGCACCAGGACATCCTGAGCCAAGTCGTTCCCATGAATCAGAGTTTCACTGACAACTACGCTGGCATCTTCCAGTTCTGGGTGAGTATCCTGCTGATGCCTTACCCTCAAGACGCGTCAGGAAAAAGGGATCTTGAAAGAGTACTATGTCCCTGTTGGGCTAACATCTTCCACAGCAATACTTGCTCACCAGCAGAGTGCGCGCGCGTGCACGCTCTCTCTC